TGAAGTGACATAAGTTCCAGGCTCACCCCTAATCTGTGCGTGCACAGAACAGGCAAAACAGCAAAGGCTTTGAGAAGTAAAATAAAAACCACCAAACTATATAAGATAAACAGTTTATTTGTCTATACATGTAGTTTATTATGTATGTGTATAGTCTATAACTAAACTATAAACCACTGTCTAAGTCCCAGACCAATCCCTGATATACACATGCATGAGACAAACCCAAACCAATATAACAATGGTTTTGCAAACAACGATACTGGAAACCCTTCCCACAAATGGTAAGGCAGAATAGGTTCAATCTAATTAGAATGATTGTCTGCTTTTAAAAATAAAAACCCTCCAGAGGCTTGTGACTTAGTATACCAAAAATGTCTAAGATACAAACCAAAATTACATGGTAGACAAAGAACCAGAAAAAATGTGACCAACTGTCAAAAAGACAACAGACGCCAAAATGAAGATAACCAAGATGTTGAAATTATCAGACAAAGGCTTTAATGAGCTGTGCTCCATGAGATGGTGATAAACACTCTTGAAACAAATCAAGGATAGATGTTCTCAACAAAGAAATAAAAACCAAGCAGAATTTTTTTAATTAAAAAAATATCTAAAATAAAAGATTCACTTGATGGGCTCAGTAGTTCAAGTTGAAGGAAAATGATACCACAGGAAAACAAGCAACAAGAATGGGAAATACCTAGGAAAGTCTCTTTTCTCAAATTCTTGAATGTAACTATTGAGAACAAAAATTATAATTTGTTGGGATTCTCATTGTTATGTAGATATAATGTACAAGGCAACTTAGAGGAAAGAGTAAAGGGACCTTTGTGGTTACAAGTCTTCTACATTTTCCTTGAAGTAGCAAAATTAGGGGCGCCTGGGTGGCGCAGTCGGTTGAGCGTCCGACTTCAGCCAGGTCACGATCTCGCGGTCCGTGAGTTCGAGCCCCGCGTCAGGCTCTGGGCTGATGGCTCGGAGCCTGGAGCCTGTTTCCGATTCTGTGTCTCCCTCTCTCTCTGCCCCTCCCCCGTTCATGCTCTGTCTCTCTCTGTCCCAAAAATAAATAAACGTTGAAAAAAAAAATTAAAAAAAAAAAAAAGTAGCAAAATTATTAACCTTAAATGGATTGAGAAAAGTTACATATGTATGTTGTGATTTCTAGAACAACCATTATGATAATACAAGTATAGCCAAAGAGTCAATAAGTAAACAAAAATGGAGTACTAAGAAGCATTCATATCAAAAAGAGGTCAGGATGATGTTGGGGGAACAGGAAGACCGGTGAAAAAATGTTAGACATAAATCCAACCATATCAAAAACCGTACTAAATGTAAATAGACATTTCAAAGTCAGAAATTTTCAGACTGGATTTTGAAATATTTTTTTTAATGTTTATTTTTCAGAGAGAGAGAGCATGAGCAAGGGAGGGGCAGACAAAGAGGGAGACACAGAATCCAAAGCAGGCTCCAGGCTCTGCTGTCAGCACAGAGCCCAATGTGGGCCTTGAACTTAAGAGCCGCGAGATCATGACCTGAGCCAAAGTCGGATGCTTAACCAACTGAGCCACCCAGGCGCCCCCAGAATGGATTTTTTAAAAAGCAAAAACTTAAATATATGTTGCCTACAAGAAACCTAGCTTAGATAGATAGAATGACACAGATGAGTAAAAGGACTGAAAAACTATGCAAACGCTTTTTTTAAGTTGGAGTAGTTTTATTAATATCAAAGTGCATTCCAGGACAAGGAAAATTCCATAATGATAAAGGGATTAATCCCCAAAAAGACAACAATCCTAAAAGCATATGTCGGGGCGCCTGGGTGGCCCAGTCGGTTAAGTGTCCGATTTCGGCTCAGGTCATGATGTCGCAGTGTGTGAGTTCGAGCCCCGCGTCAGGCTCTGTGCTGATGCCTCAGAGCCTGGAGCCTGCTTCGGATTCTGTGTCTCCCTCTCTCTCTCTGCCCCTCCCCTGCTCATGCTCTGTCTCTCTGTCTCTAAAAAATAAATGTTAAAAAAAATTAAAAAAAGCATATGTACCTTGTAGTGAATTGACCTACAAGATTCCCATTTACTGGTATTCATGTATTGTGTAAACCCCATATCTTAAGGGTAGTTTGGAGACCTGTAACTTGATTTCTAACCAATAGAGTATGGCAAAAGTGGGGGATTCAATACCATGGTTATGTTACATTGTATAATGTCATTCCCATAATTTTATTACATTATATAAGACTCCATCTTCCTAGAAGATTTGCTCTCTATCCCCATCCCCCACCTTCCTGCTCGTGACTATCTTTGAAGAATCCAGCTGACATGAATCCCAGAGCTGCAAGGAAATGAATTCTCCAAACAACCTGACTGACTTTGGAAGTGGATCCTTATTCAGTCAAGTCTCAGATGACAATCCAGCTCTGGCCAACACCTTTATTAAAAATGCAGAAGACCCAGCTAAGACAGGCCCAGCCCAGACTCCCAACACACATAAAGGAAAAGATGGAGTGAGGAGAGAGAGAAAGAGAGAGCATATCAGTATCTATATATAAATATCTATCACTGAAGATGCAGAATTACTGAGGTTTTTAAAAAAGGCTTCAGAGGGGCGCCTGGGTGGCGCAGTCGGTTAAGCGTCCGACTTCAGCCAGGTCACGATCTCGCGGTCCGTGAGTTCGAGCCCCGCGTCGGGCTCTGGGCTGATGGCTCAGAGCCTGGAGCCTGTTTCCGATTCTGTGTCTCCCTCTGTCTCTGCCCCTCCCCCGTTCATGCTCTGTCTCTCTCTGTCCCAAACATAAATAAACGTTGGGAAAAAAAAAAAAAAATTTAAAAAAAAAAAGGCTTCAGAAATAAACAGGTTTGGATTCCAACTTCATTTACTCGTGTTTTTTACTTTAACTAGCCTTGTGTGAAAACTGCTTAAGTGATGATTTTCTTCATAAACAAGGATAATAATCATTCCTCATAAGATTGCTGGGAGAAATAAAATGAGACAATTTGGAGCACCTGGGTGGCTCAGTTTGTTAAGCATCTGACGCTTGATTTCAACTCAGGTCATGATCTCAGGCATAGGATTGAGCCCTGCATCAGGCTGGGCTATGGAACCTATGCTGGGCATGGAACCTGCTTAAGATTCTCTCTCCCTTTCCCTCTACCACCTCATTCCCCTGCTCATGCTCTCTCTCACTCTCTAAAAACAAAACAAAACAGGAAACCTACAGCCAATATTGTACTTATTAGTGAAAGATGAAATGTTTTTTCTTTTAAAACAGGAAGCAAGGTAAGGATGTCCACTCTCACCATTCCTATCTGTCATTGTTCTGGACCTCCCAGCCAGTGCAATAATACAAGGAAAATAAATAAAACATATCCAAATCAGAAAGTGTGAACTAAAACTATCTGTATCCACAGATAGAATGATTTCTACATAGAAAATTACAAGAAATCTTAAAAAAAAAAAAAAAACTCTCTTAGAAATATATACATGAGGGGCGCCTGGTGGCTCAGTCGGTTAAGCAGCCGACTTCGGCTCAGGTCATGATCTCGCGGTCTGTGAGTTCGAGCCCCGCATCGGGCTCTGTGCTGACAGCTCAGAGCCTGGAGCCTGTTTCAGATTCTGTGTCTCCCTCTCTCTGACCCTCCCCTGTTCATGCTCTGTCTCTCTCTGTCTCAAAAATAAATAAACGTTAAAAAAAAATATATATATATACATGAGTTTAGCAAATAGAATCTTGGAATTACAAGATCAATATACAAAAATCGTATTTCTGTCTACTACTAATGAATAATTGGAATCCAAAATGTTAAAAATAGCATCATTCACCATAGCACCAAAAGTTAAATAGGTATTAATCTAACAAAATATGTGCAGCATCTGTGTGCTGAAAACTACAAAGAACAGTAAAAGAAATCAAAGATAACCTAAGTAACTGGAGGGATATATTTATTCCTCAATTGAAAGATAATATTGTCAAGATGTCAGTTCTCTCAGAACTCATCTAAAGCTTCAACAAAATCCACATCAGAACTCTAGAGGATTTTTCTGTAAATAATGTGCTGATTCTAAAACTTATACTGAAAGGCAGTGAAACTAGATTGGTCCAAACGATTTTGAAAAAGCAGAATTGGATTCATACCTTCTGATTTCAAGAATTACGGTAAGTCTACAGTAATCAAGATAGCATGGTATTGGCAAAAGGGTAGGAATATACCTCAGTGGAAATTGGCCCACAAAAATATGGTCAATTGATTTTTTTTCTTTTTACAAAGGTGCAAAGGCTATTTGATTAAGAAAAGATTATCTTTTTTTAACTAGTGATGCTAGAACAATTACATAAATGCAAATAAAATTAATTTCGCCCTTAAAAATGAATTTCAAATGAGTCATAGATATAATGTAAAACATAAAACCTAGGACACTTCTTGAAGAAAATATAGGAAGAAAAATCTTTGTGCAGGCAAAGAGGTTAGGCAAAATGAATATTTATATAGTTTAATAAGTAATTGCCAAAAAGTGGAAACAATCCTAATACATTTTATTTTTTCTAAGTTTGTTTGTTTGTTTGTTTGTTTATTTTGAGCAGGGGGAGGGGCAGAAAGAGAGGGAGAGACAGAGAATCCCAAGCAGGCCCTGCCATGTCAGCACAGAGTCCTATGTGCAGCTCAAACTCATGAACCATGAGAACTGAAGCTGAAGTCAGACATTTAACCAACCCTGGGGATGGGGGTTAGGCACCTCAACCCTAATACATTTAAATTGTTGGGTGGATAAACAGACTAGTTCTTCCATACAGTGAAATACTACTCAGCAATAAAAGAATAAGCTAGTAATACACACACTTGTGCGAATCTAGACATTATGATGAGTGAGAGTAATGAGCCTCAAAAGTTTCCATTTTGTGATTCCATTTACATGACCTTTTGGAGAATGGAAAACAGATCAGTAGTTGCCAGGGATTGTGGGTGAAAAGAAGGAAGGGATGACAAAGAAAATTAGGGCATTTCTTTGAGGTGACAGAACTTTCTGTATTTTTATTCTAGTGGTGGTTGTCAAAACTCATAGGACCATACACCCAAAAAGTGAATTTTATTGCATGTAAATTAAATTTTTTAAAAAGAAAGATGTACAGCCCCTGTACATAAGACACTTCACTCTCGAATTTATTTACTTAATTCACAGTTTCTGCCATACTAAAACCTCCAACAGGGCCATACTTGATTCTTAACACTAAGAATTTCTAGCCCAAGGATTTGAGCTATCCTTTTCTTAACAGCTCCGAGATCTGTGTGGGAGAGCTTGAGCTAACTCAATTATTAGAGAATATGTGAAAAGAGTTGTTCAGCCAGATCCAGCTGACCACCAGCATCAGATGTGTGAATGATGCCAACTTGAAACATACAGCCCCAGGCAGGCCACCAGCTAATTACCATTGTGTAAGTGACAGCAAGTGAGACTAGCGAAGAACTGCCCAGCTGAATCCAATCCAAATTGCCAAAGCACAGAATTGTGAATAAAATGGTTACTGACTTAACTACCATATTTTAGGGTAGTTTGTTACACAGTATTAGATAACTGACATGAAGCAATTATATCACAATCCCCGCCACCCTAAACATTTTTTTTCAGTTTTAGAGATCATACAGGAAATCCTTTGGTCTCTGGAAAAAAAAAATCATATTAGTAGTTAATTCTTAAAATCTCTACAAATGGTGTTTTCCTGCATTAAGGGTAATAAATTATTCTAGCCATATCTATAGTAATATGTTCTTCCTTTGTAGTTCTATTTTAAGACATGTTCAGAAATTAGTATACAGAGGAGGTCAAAGATGAGAGTAAGAGAGCTGAAGGAACCAATAACCTATAGAGGACAGAGAGAGACTAAGGCGGGGCAGGGGGATGGGGGGGGGCATGGTGGCTGCTTTTAAATATTTGATGGACTTTTTAAAACCCTGAGTTGTTTCAAAGCCAGAAATTGGATTAATATGTAGAAATTAAAGGAAGAAATGTTTCTGATTCAATATCAAGGAAGTATTCTCTAACATGAGAGTTGATCAAAAGTGAAGTGTACTGCCTCAAAAATCAGTGAGATGACCATCATGAGGAATTTTCAAACAAGCTGAATGGTCACATCTTAGAAATATTTTCTGTACTGGGTATGCAGGTTATTTCTATACAGAGTGAGACACTGTACTAGATAATTTTCCTAAATTTCCTTCAGGTTCTGAGTTTCTTTAATTATTTGGCATCACAGGAATCATCACTATGTTTGCCACCTTGGACTTTAAACTTACTGGCTTTTGATATTTAACCAGACTTTCCGGATATGCCCCGATGCAGGCAGCCAAACAAAGTTGTTTTTCCTCATAATCTGTAGGAATGGGGACTTCCTTTGATAACTGAATCCAAACAAGCTGGAGATATTTTCTCTCCCCTGCCCACAGCTTTTGTCAAATGACCATGTGTACCAGGAATTGTTTCAAAGGACAGAGAGAAAGGTTCACCTTCAGCCCCCTCCTGACCTGCTAAATCTGGACTGCAAACAGGGCCAGTTTCATGGTCATGAGAACTATACAATTGCAATGGGTCCCATTCTTGGTTTAATGATCTGTTATCACTGCTTTGAAATTTTTAATAGTTTATGAACAAGGGGACCCACAAATTCTGTAGCCAGTCCTGACTACAATTTTTATCTATAGTTCCTCACCACCCACTCCTTCCTTGTTATTTTAGACTGACTCCTGTCTTTAGGTGGAATAGGCCTCTCTCTCAAGTCCTCTACTGCCTAATGGCCAATTCCCTTAGCCTCTCCTTAATCATCATACATTTTAATCTGACTAGAGTATCTGATATTGTTGACAGATCATACTTTTAAATTCTCTGTTTGGTTTCCATGACTCTATGGAAACCATAGAGCATGGTTTTCTTCTTATCTCTGAACTTGTTTGATAAAGCCAAGTAGAATAATGGATGAAATTAGTAGTCACATTACATGCCTTTGGGCTTTTCTCTCTCTAGAATGGGCCAATACTCTATCCACTAGGATATATTGGTACTCCCTTTTTTCCCACAGGGTTAGTGACAAAATGGCATCCAGATCGATAAATTTAAAGGCTGAACTACATTCCTACCTGGCTGGTATTACAAATCATATACGGTGGGTGAGAGTGGGGGCAGGGGGTTATTGTTTTGTTTTGCTTTCCTTGACACAGCAATGAAGTGAAGAACATACCAAGGCGTTCATCAGTTGAATATATAAATGGTCGTAAATTTCCTCGGGTCTCCTTCATGAAATAATCAACGACGCTGAACAGGTTTGGGAGCGTTACCTGTTTAAAGAAAGTGAGAGTAGGCTCAGTGTCATCTGTGTAAAGATAGAGTAAGAGAAAGCTCGCGTGAAATTTAATGAAGACTACTGTGAATTTCCTGATCTCTAGAAAAACACATCAATACCTCACTTCAATGAGGTATTGAATGAATGGCCAAGGTTTAACTACCCATGCATTGTATTTCTCTTTTATAATATCTAATTCCCTGTTGAGAAATTTCCCTTTTCCCATTTGGATACATTTTGGTGGACAATAATTTGGTATGCTGCTTTTCCCAGTTACCAGATAAGAATGTGACTCAGGCTAGGCCAGAAATTTGAACTTGAGTAGAGGAACAAGAAAGGAGAGTAGATTCCTAATTAGATGGTTGTTACTACAGTTGACCCTTGAACAACAGGGGGTTAGGAATGCCAACCCCATGCACTCAAAATTCCATGTTATAATTTTTGATTCCTCCCAGAATTAAACACTAATACCCTACTGTTGACCAGAAGCCTTACCAATAACATAGTTAACACATACTTAGTATATTATATGTATTATATACTGTATTCTTCCAGTGAAGTAAGCCAGAGAAAAGGAAATGTTATTAAGAAAATCACAAGAAAAATATATCTACCGTACTACTCTTTATTTAAAAAAAAAAAAAAATCCACATGTAGGTGGACCCAGGCGCTTCAAACCCATGTTGTTCAAGGGTCAACCATACAAGTAACTGCTTCCTAGTCCCTGAAGGTCTTCCAGCTTTCCAGTCATTTTATATGCTTCCTATGGGGGCGCCTGGGTGGCGCAGTCGGTTGAGTGTCCGACTTCAACCAGGTCACGATCTCGCGGTCCGTGAGTTCGAGCCCCACGTCGGGCTCTGGGCTGATGTCTCAGAGCCTGGAGCCTGTTTCCGATTCTGTGTCTCCCTCTCTCTCTGCCCCTCCCCCGTTCATGCTCTGTCTCTCTCTGTCCCAAAAATAAATAAACGTTGAAAAAAAAAATTTATATGCTTCCTATGTTCTTAAATAAATCCTTTTTTGCTTAAGTTACTTATTTGGTTTCTTCCATTTGAAAACAAAGAACAGTTAAAGCTGGAAAATTTAGCACTTTAATATCTCACTGGAACAGGATCATTTACTTGACTAAGAGTAGCTGAAAAGTGTTGCCACCCCCAAGCTAATATTTTTACTTCTTTTCCTATAATTTATTTATTTTTTATAATTTACATCCAAGTTAGTTAGCACAAGGTGCAACAATGATTTCAGGAGCAGATTCCTTAAGCCCCTTTCCCATTTAGCCCATCGTCCCTCCCACAACCCCTCTGGTAACCCTCTGTTTGTTCTCCATATTTATGAGTCTCTTATGTTTTGTCCCCCTCCCTGTTTTTATATTATTTTTGCTTTCCTTCCCTTATGTTCATCTGTTTTGTCTCTTAAAGTCCTCATATGAGTGAAGTCATATGATATTTGTCTTTCTTTGACTAATTTCACTTAGCATAATACCCTCCAGTTCCATCCATGTAGTTGCAAATGGCAAGATTTCATTCTTGTTGATTGCCAAGTAATACCCCATTGTGTGTGTGTGTGTGTACACACACACACACACACACACACCACATCTTCTTTATCCATTCATCCATTGACAGTCAGGCTCTTTCCATATTTTTGCTATTATTGATAGTGCTGCTATAAACACTGGGGTGCATGTGCCCCTTTGAAACAGCACACCTGTATCCCTTGAATAAATACCTAGTAGTTATTGTTGTAGGTTGTAGGATAGTTCTATTTTTAATTTTTTAAGGCACCTCCATACTGTTTTCCAGAGTGGCTACACCATTTTGCATTTCCACCAACAGTGCAAAAGAGATCCTCTTTCTCAGCATCCTCATCAACATCTGTTGTTGCCTGAGTTGTTAATGTTAGCCATTCTGACAGGTGTGAGGTGATATCTCAATGTGGTTTTGATTTGTATTTCCCAGATGATGAGTGATGTTGACAAGCTAATATTTTTATAAAAGTAGGGGCGCCTGGGTGGCACAGTCGGTTAAGCGTCCAACTTCAGCCAGGTCACGATCTCGCGGTCCGTGAGTTCAAGCCCCGCGTCAGGCTCTGGGCTGATGGCTCAGAGCCTGGAGCCTGTTTCCGATTCTGTGTCTCCCTCTCTCTCTGCCCCTCCCACGTTCATGCTCTGTCTCTCTCTGTCCCCCAAAAAATAAATAAACGTTGAAAAAAAAAAAAGTAAAATCAGGTTAAGCCTGAATATCCCTGGTAACCTTGAAAAAGAAAAAGAATTCATAGAATGACAATCTGGTTGAGGGGTAGTGTTAGGGAGTGTGGAAGGTGAAAGAACAATCCAGGGGATTGTTCAGGCTAATTATGGATAAACAAGCCCCAGTTCACCAGTCACAGAGGTACATTCTCATTCCTGATTGCTTCCAGTCAGTTGGTATTTGGGTTATCCCTGAGCAATCTAGTTCTTTGTTTCCTTCATTAGAATTTTTTGAAAAAGCCCTGGCAGTCATGGATGTGAGAACTGAGAAGCTTTGAGAGACATTTATGGCAAAGATGTAAGTGGGATGTACAAATCGGCAGCTTCTCTCCTTTTGGCAAAGGTCACCACTGCATGCAAAGAATTATGGTCTAAACATTAATAATTCAACCATACAGGGGCGCCTGGGTGGCTCAGTCACTTAAGCGTCCGACTTCGGCCCAGGTCAGGATCCCATGGCTCCTGCGCTCGAGCCACACATCAGTTTCTCTGCTGTCAGTGCACAGCCAGCTTTGGATCCTCTGTCCCCCTCTCTCTGCCCCTCCCCTGCTCACGCTCTCTCTCTTTCAAAAATAAACATTAAAAAAAAATTCAACCATACTGTCCCTTTCTCTATTTGATTAACACAGTGGGCCTAGAGAGGCAGAGGCATTAAGAAGAACTTAATTTTAGAGAAGTTAAAATAAGTATCTTCAAGACTCATCAGTTCCATTTATGTCATATCACTTTTCAGGTCCGATCTTCCCTGCCACCGCAGCCTAAGATCCCACAACTATATTCCCTTTTCTGGCATCCGGGACCATAGCCACATTACTACATTTTCATTGGTTGAGATGAATGTAAATGCCAGTTTTCTAACATCTATAACAGGCATTACCTCAAGGTAATGGTGAAGATGAAATTAAATGGTATCCGGGTGGGGTGGAGGGCGCCTGGATGGCTCAGTCTGTTAAGTGTCCAACTTCAGCTCAGTTCATTATCTCATGGCTCGTGGGTTCCAGCCCCATGTCAGGCTCTGTGCTGACAGCTCAGAGCCTGGAGCCTGCTTCGGACTCTGTGTCTCCCTCTCTCTCTGTCCCTCCCCTGCTTTCACTCAGTCTCTCCCTCTCTCACAAAAATAAACAAACATTAAAATTAATTAATTAAATGGTATCGGTAAAGTACTTAGCTCTCTAATACAGTGGCTTTGTGATTCTGATATTATATCATTAGCCCCATGGTAAGTTGGTTGGGATAACAGAGGGGCTGCAGATCAAGAGCAAACCATTTCTTCATGATTATGTTGCTATTATGACAGGCATTTCTGAACTTCTGCATGATGGGTATAAGAGGACTAGGCACGCACAGAATTTTTCCCTTTAGAAATAAGTGCATTGAAATATATATAGTTGGAGGATGTACAACAGATGTTTAACAAAAAAATATTCTCTCCCTGAAGCAACTCTATTGATAAAGAGTGCAGAGAAAAGTAGAAAGAATTCTTAGCAGATTATCTTCTACTGTGCCACATCCCCCTGCGCTTATACCTCACTTCTTACCCTGACATTTGCCACGTTCAGGCCTCCTTAACATGGCTGTTTTTCACCAGCACTATGTTCCTAGGCAAGGGGTCTACTTTTCTACCTTTCTTTGAATTCTATAAGGTAGATTTAGGGAAAAGCAGAAGAAAATTCATCAAAAACAAGGAAATAGCTACTTACAGGTTTTTCCAGTTCAATGGTATAGTTTTTTCCTACACTCATCACTTTGTAGTGCTTGATTCTTGGCATGCTAAAATGAAAAAAAAAAAATATGTTACTCTCCATTTGAGTATATTACTGGATCAAATCAAACTAAAGGGAGTATAAAATATCACCTGTACGGTAAAACCTATGTATCCATTCCCATAGTTAGGAGAAAAAAAAAGGTTTTATTTTATTATTTACCTGGTTCTGTATGTTTCTTTTGGGGGGTTATATGCTAGGGATATAGGAAACCTGAGTCATTGAGTGGGTGAATGAATAACTAAAAAAAAAAAAAAAAAAAAAGGAATCAACAGAAAATCTTTCAGGCTCTGAAATCATTTTTTAATGCTAATAATTTACAAAGCAGGCAACATTATAAGATCCTATGTAGGCACATACAAATCAAACATATATCCTCTATAATAAAAGGGAAGTAGAAAAAATTGCTGAAAGCAAATTACTTTCTACCCCACCTTATCGCTATCCTAGCAGAAATCCCTGAATGGCTGTTCTTCCTGCTAGCTCACATACCACTCTGGATATCCACTAACTTCAGGAATGACTTAGAGACAGGGAAAATGCTCAGTATTAGGTACTATACGAATGTAGGAGACAATGTAAGTACAGCAGAGGAATCATAATGCGATTCCTCTTCTGTGGTCACATAGCACTCTAAATTACTACCACCCCAAACACATGGTATTTTACTGACTAGAATTGCTTAAGAACAAGAAGCACAGAATAGAAATTCACCTTTGTCTTCCAGCATTAGGCACACGATAAATATTTATGAAACTGAAGTTTTGAAATATTGCAAGCTCATCTTAAAGTGCTATTTGATAGAATTAATTTATATTGAGAGAAGCCAGTAGGTTTGCCTTGAATTCCCTTGATTCATATGACAATGTCACAACCAGGACTTCTTCTAATGTTGAAAAGTTAAAAGCATTTATTACACTGCCATTTGCTTGAAAGAGAAACTAATTCAACATCACACAGAAGCAGTCTAAAAGCTGTCTACCAGGTTAAGTTTGTTAGCAGGGCCTCCCTCCTTCTTTCTTCTTTTTTTTTTTTATTTTTTAAAGTTTATTCATTTATTTTAAGAGAGAGTACAAGCAGGGTAGGGGCAGAGAAAGGGGAGAGAGAGAATCCTAAGCAGGCTCCATGCTATTAGCATGTGGGGCTTGAACTCACGAACCGTGAGATCAGGACCCCAGTGGAAATCAAGAGTCAGACACCCAACTGGGCCACCCGGGAGCCCCTCCCCACTTCTTCCTAATCAACCCTCTCTCCATTTCCAGGTCACATGTCTCTAGGACTGAAGTACACTTCTTTTTAAGGGACTTTTTCCTCATCTACTACTATATGCAAATATGCAAATATTCATTCTCTCAATTGAATATCACATTGGAAAATAGCTAATACTTTTATTCCAGTGGCTTATTGTAGAGCTTTACTTTTAAACCATTGCATAAAGCCTAACAAACCCTCTCCCCTTTGAAAAAAATTAAAATTAAAAAGTATTCTTTATTGCTGAACTTTCAGGAATCAGTAACAGACTGGTGAAGGAAACATTTTTGGACAGAGGTACCTTCTTTTGGGGTGGTTGATTCTAGCTTTATTTTTATCTCTACATGAAGAGATCTTTATAATCATATAGTTACTTTTGAAAACTCTCACCCATTCCAATTAGAATTCCTGTGTTCCTAAAAATTCCTGTATTATTCCTTGGAATAACTGATAGAAAACTTGAAGGGCATGATCTTTATAACAAGAAAGTTTAGGTTCACATTGTGATTCTATTGTGTAAGCTCTCACCCTTCATGTTTTCATCTATAAAACGGACATGGAAATGCCATTCCTTACAGGGCTATTGTAAGTTATTGTCTGAGAAGTCCTTAGTACAACGTCTGGCACATTTAGACATATAGTAAATCATAACTATTTTTGATACTTTTTAAATTTATCATTTTAACTTAGTTGTTTCTGCAAGGCTCAACTGCTTCATTTGTAAAACATGAAAAAAGAAAAAAACTGTTCGTTTTTATTGTTCCTGAAGGAAATGCTTGTCAAGCACCCAACACAGCACCCACAAATTGGGACAATGATTGTTGTTATTAATAATAGCCACTATATCATCATCATCATCATCATCATCATCATCATTATTCATGACAAAACTGTGGGAGGAAGGGTAGCAAAGATGAGCAGTGTCTCTTGGAGCTTTTGACTAGAAGGACTAAATTCTGAAGCAGAAAGTTAGGAAAAAAAAATTCCATTGAAGTCATTTAGGGTTTGAGTCTCATTTTAGACTTTTGTTTTTCTTTCATACTTTGTTTTGTTTCTCCAAAAAAATCAAGACCGAGGAAAAAACAAGATTGATAAAATGTGCTATATTGATGTTTCCTGACAATGACCTCAAAAAAGAAGGAACCTGTCTTTTAACAAGTGTGTGGCTTAAATGTGGTATAAGTACTTGTTTTTTACTTCTGACCCCAATTTTTTACAGGAGTTAATTTGGGGTCAATATTTTCTGTTTCCTTGGCTAATGGATCTCCAAAGTGTGTTTACTACTAGCTTGCCATGTAGTCATAACAATTTTAAGAAAACAAAGCCGAACCACTAAGTTTGTCGTAAGAACAGCTCTACGTCTTATGAATTCACACACCACTGGGCTGGCTAAAGGTGGATGGTATTTTGTATCAAGAGAGGAGTCACCTGATACTTTGACACTGAATGACTTTTGCTTCTTCCGGAGAAGAATCAATCTACCCTCCCACAACTGGTTTGTTAACAGATGGAGATAATTTTACTTTCAAGTACTGCTTTGTAAACCAGCCTGTCCTTTTCAGCCAGTGTTTTGCCAGATACACTCAACTTAAACTTGCATACCTGCATATTTCTCCTATAACCTATAAGACAATAAATTGGTTTTGTGGGTTGTTAGTCACCTATGTTCAGGTGCTTCCTAATCATCTAAATTTTTGCATTAAGCTTTACATTAAATCTTTACATTAAGCTCTACAGTCTAACAAGCTAACATTCTACTACTCTCTACAAGTGCTATCCTCTGTTAAACAGAAGATAGAAATCAGGCACTCTGAAAGTTCTATTTTGAGGCATTAGGCAATGCACAGAACAGTCGCTAACATCATAGATATTTCTGACTCATAAGGAAAACTGGTACAACAACAGTTCAAATTTTTCTTATCCATTTCCAACCACAAACTATTTCCCTGAGCCTAAGTGAGCATATAGTGACTGTAGCATTAGAATGCTCTACTTTGACCATTCCCCTCACTCTTTCTAAATATGAACTTTGGCGGGGGGGGGGGGGGGGGGAGAGGAGGAAATGTTATGTTTTTAGGACCATCAGCTGTACAAAGGCATGGATTTCTATATGAATTCAAACTGGAAATAAGTTTACTAAAATTAGAATTATGTAAGTTTGATATGAACTCCTTTGCCAGACAGGAGTTTAAATACAGACAAATATAAGTAAAAACTATGACATGAAGTTCATATCCTAAGTATAGAAACATATTGCATTTGGTCACAAACCACACCTACAGCAGAAAACACTGTTATATCTTGGGAGGCCTGGGTGGCTCAGTCGGTTAAGCGTCCAGCTCTTGATTTTGGCTCAGGTCATGATCTCACAGTTCATGGGGTCAAGCTGTGTGTTGGGCTCTCTGCCCTGACCTCAAAACTTGCTTGAGATTCTCTCTCTTCTCTCTCTCTGCCCCTCCACTGCTTGTGCTCTGTCTCTCTTAAAATAAATAAATAAACTTTAGGGGTGCCTGGGTGGCCAGACTTGATCTTGGCTCAGGTCATGATCCCACAGTTTGTGGGTTCAAGCTCCGTGTCAGGCTCTGCACTGATAGCTCAGAGCCTGCTTAGAATTCTCTCTCTCCCTTTCTCTCTGCTCCTCCCCCACTCATTCTCTCTTTCTCTCTCAAAATAAATAAACATTTTTTAAAAGCTTTACAAAAACAGACACATAGACCGATGGAATAGAATACAGAACCCAGAACTGGACCCACAAATATATGGACAACTAATCTTCAACAAAATAGGAAAGAGTATCCAATGGAAAAAAGATAGTCTCTTTAGCAAATGATGCTGGGAAAACTGGACAGCAACATGCATAAGAATGAACCTGGGCCACTTTCTTATACCATAGACAAAAATGAATTCAAAATGGATGAAAGAATTAAATGTGAGACAGGAAACCATCAAAATCCTAGAAGAAAACAGGCAACAACTTTTTTGACCTCAGCTGCAGCAACTTCTTACTTGACATGTCTCCAAAGGCAAGGGAAATAAAAGCAAAAATGAACTATTAGGACCTCATCAAGATAAAAAGCTTTTGCACTGCAAAGGAAACAATCAACAAAACTAACAGACAACCAACAGAATGGGAGAAGATATTTGCAAATGATAAAGGGCTAGTATCTAAAATCTATAAAGAACTTATCAAACTCAACACCCAAAAAACAAACAATCCGGTGAAGAAATGACAGAAGATATGAAGAGACACTTTTCCAAAGAAGACATCCAAATGGCCTACAGACACATGAAAAATACTCAACATCACTTATCACCGGAGAAATACAAATCAAAACTACATTGAGATACCACCTCACACCAGTCAGAGTTGCTAAAATTAACAGCTCAGGAAACAGATGTTGGCGAGGGTGTGGAGAAAGGGGAACCCTCTTGCATTGTTGGTGGGAATGCAAGCTGGTACAGCCACTCTGGAAAACAGTGTGGAGTTTCCTCGGAAAATTAAAGATTGAATTACCCTACAACCCAGCAATAGCATTACTAGGAATTTATCCAAATGATACAGGAGTGCTGATTCAGAGGGGCACATGTACCCCAATGTTATATAGCAGCACTATCAACAATAGCCAAATTATAGAAAGAGCCCAAATGTCCATCAACTGATGAATGGATAAAAAAGATGTGGTATATATATATACAATGGAATACTATTTGACAATGAAAAATAATGAAATCATGCCATTTGCAACAACATGGATGGAATTGGAGGATATTATGCTAAGTGAAATAAGTCGGAGAAAGATAGATATCATATGTTTTCACTCATATGTGGAAGTTAAGAAATTTAACAGAAGACCATTGGGGAAGGGAAAGAAAAAAATATATATAGTTACAAACAGAGAGGGAGGCAAACCATAAAAGACTTTTAAATACAGAGAACAGGGGCGCCTGGGTGGCGCAGTCGGTTAAGCGTCCGACTTCAGCCAGGTCACGATCTCGCGGTCCGTGAGTTCGAGCCCCGCGTCGGGCTCTGGGCTGATGGCTCGGAGCCTGGAGCCTGTTTCCGATTCTGTGTCTCCCTCTCTCTCTGCTCCTCCCCCGTTCATGCTCTGTCTCTCTCTGTCCCAAAAATAAATAAAAACGTTGAAAAAAAAATTTTAAAAAATAAATAAATAAATAAATACAGAGAACAAACTTAGGGTGGAAGGGAGTGGGGGGGGCAGGGAAAATGTGTGATGGGCATTGAGGAGGGTATTAATTAGGATAAGCACTGGGTGTTGTATGTAAACAATGAATCATGGGAATCTACTACTCCCGAAGCCAAAAGCACACCGTATACACTGTATTTTAGCTAACTTGACAATAAATTATATTTAAAAAATAATAATAAATAAATAAAAACAAAAGAAACAAAAAAATTAAAAAGCTTCAAAAAATAAACTTAGAAAGAAAAAAAGAAAACACTTATTTCTGATAGCTCACATGTATGGAAAATGCAATGCAAAAGTTGGGGTAATCTAGACCACCTTAAAGAGACCAGGCTGCTTTGTGCAGGAAACATACAGTCTTTAGAGTCATTAGGTCTCCGGACTTTGTTCTTTTTATACAGAATAATAACACAGCGTTCGCATACTGATGGATCAAACACTCAATCCAACCAAGAATAAAATGAAGGAAGAAAAGCTAATCACTCTCTTGTGTGATTTAGCTTTCAAGCAATTAAATTTCTTTTTTTAGAAAATCTGAGAAATAGATTTTAATTCAGTTTTATATGCTCTTCATTTTTAAAGCGAAAGTAAATTAGTTAAAAGCATTCTGTACTCTATGTGATATTCAATTGCCCAAACCCTGAAAAAGGACAAGTTTCTTGACCAAGATTTACTCAACAGAAAAATTCACTTTTCTCCCAGGGACACTTCTAAGCCCCCCTATATTTAATGGCAGTCAATTTTTATTTCTTCTGGATTTGTTTCAAAATAATCAATTAAATTATAAATCAAATAAATTAAAATTGACTAATCTGTGATATTCTACCATATTAGTTGAAAATACATCAACCCCGGGGCACCTGGGTGGCTCAGTCACTTAAGCCTCTGACTCTTGATCTCAGCTCAGGTCATGATCTCAAGGTTCTTGAGTTCGAGCCCCACATCAGGCTCTGTGTTGATGGTGCAGAGCCTGCTTAGGGTCTTCTCTATCCCTTTCTCTGACCCTCCCCTGCTTGTGCTCTCTCTCTAAATGAAATATAAATAAACTAAAAAAAAAAAATTAAATAAAATACATCAACCCCAAGTGTCAGGCATTATAATAAAAAATAATGAAGCCACAAGAACATTAAGTTAACATAGATATTCATTGTGGAAAATGACACACGCACGGAGTCTCTTCACACACAGAACCAGGATCTGATCTGCCATCTATCATTCTTGCCATCTATTCGGTGCACATGGCTGAAGTATAAAGACAAGTCCCTGTTTATATGGAGTAATTGGCAAGTGATGAAGCTGATTGGGCCATGGCTCACTGTAACTATTTTCTCTTTACTGCCTTTATTCACGGTCAGTCTCTTCATATTTAATATTTACAGTGGGCTGGTAGATAATGTTACAGCTAAAATAGTTGATGGAATATTTTCCCCACAAAGAATAATACATTCAAGAATCAAAGTTCTGTTTATATTTTTATATGAAAGATAATTACTTATTGAACATTTTCATTTAGGATAAAAATCTGTATTTTAGGGGCGCCTGGGTGGCGCAGTCGGTTGGGCGTCCGACTTCAGCCAGGTCACGATCTCGCGGTCCGTGAGTTCGAGCCCCGCGTCGGGCTCTGGGCTGATGGCTCAGAGCCTGGAGCCTGTTTCCGATTCTGTGTCTCCCTCTCTCTCTGCCCCTCCCCCGCTCATGCTCTGTCTCTGTCCCCAAAATAAATAAACGTTGAAAAAAAAATTAAAAAAAAAAATCTGTATTTTAATTTCACTATCATTTATTAAAGTGTTAACTAACCTAGAGTACCTATTGAAATGTGAGATTTCATGGACCCTGAGAGCTGGAGTGGACCTTCGAAGATCCAACCACCTTAGCTACATGGAAAAATCAACTTCTGTATGTGTTACTGATCTCATCAAAGGTAAGCCACTTTACCAGAAAGAAATTATTCACCTTTCCAACAGACTCCTAAGCAGTCCTTCTTATAGATGTCAGATTATTGTCACGTCTTCATTCATCACGGTCTAGTGACCTCTCATGTCATTCAGAGTATATAACCCAGGTCAGGTCCCTACAATGACCTGTAGGGTTTAGAGTAATTGGTCCCCACCCCCACCTCTGGAATCTCATCTACCACTGTTTCCTTGTTGGCATCACCAAGCAGCCTCTTTCTGTTTTTGAACAAACCCAGACTTCTGCCTCTGGGCACATGCACTTGCTACCGGGAATGCTCTTGTCCCAGACCTGGGCAAGGTTTGTTCCCTCACTTCCTTCAGGCCCCTGCTTAATTAAATGTCAGTTAATAAAGTAGGCCTTCTCTGACCACTCTGTATGAAAACAACAATAGCAATAAGAAAACGTTTCTCTATATATCGTCTCTGACAGTTCCCATCTCCCTCATCCTCTTTTATTTTACTTCTATAGACCTTATTACCATATATATGACTTTTTAGTTATGCTATTTATTTATAGTCCATGTTTCCTTACAAGAATGTAAACTCCTTAAACCAGGGATGATGTTTTGTTCACTACTCCATCCTCAGTACCTAACATATTACTTGGCCATCTAGTAGTTGTTCAATAAATATTTGTTGAAATGAATGAACAATAGAACTATACTCAAGATCAAAGTAATTTGTCCATTCTTCTTCTTCCCTGCAGTAAATATTAGCCTTGGCTCAGTCTTTAGCATTGTTTCTATAACATTCTCTCTCTATTCTTGTGTTTCTATCTTTAGCCCCAACAAAACACACAGCAGCTGCTGATCTTGTGTGACTTTGCCTTTTAAAGTGATACCGTGCTTTTAACAATTCCATATATATTTTTTTTTAATTAAACATACTCTATCCCCTGCCGGATAGTGATGGAATAGTTTTTGCTGTCACTACCAGGCCTCAGGATCATATTTCCCAAAGAAGGGTTCTTCTCAAGCATCTCGATTGCTTCTTTCCGGGACACCGCATAAAAACATCTATAAAGGTGAGATGAAAAACAGGATTTTTTTAACTGATGAAGATCATTACTTGAAAAAGATGCTTCCAAAATAACTCTAAGAGCTGTAGTTATTAATTTTTCTTAATTTAATTCCCAGTTTTATTACTACAATTACAATGATATAATTACTGTTATTACAAGCCTGGGGCACTATTAAGCACACTTATGCTTAATTAAGGTCTTTCTTCCCTTATCCCTCCAAACCTCTTTCTTTAACCAAAGAGGATCTGAAAAGTTACCTACTGGTCAGTATGTAATCACCATTACCATTTGAAAATCTAAAATAAGAATTAATAGTATATCTCCAGTTCATAATCTCAGTTTATAATAAGCTCTTGGATAAATAATACTGGTTGGTGGTTTCTCTTCAGGGATACAAAACATTTCTTTTTTTTTTTTTCAACGTTTATTTATTTTTGGGACAGAGAGAGACAGAGCATGAACGGGGGAGGGGCAGAGAGAGAGGGAGACACAGAATCGGAAACAGGCTCCAGGCTCTGAGCCATCAGCCCAGAGCCTGACGCAGGGCTCGAACTCACGGACAGTGAGATCGTGACCTGGCTGAAGTCGGACGCTTAACCGACTGCGCCACCCAGGCGCCCCGATACAAAACATTTCTATAGATGGTTCTCTTCTATGGTCTCTGTTTTAAATAACTGATATTTAAGGGCATATCTGAATCTACTCCTTTTAGTATAATATGGCTTTCCAATGGCATTGATGCTATTTTAATGCATAAATCTTTAAGAAAGCACTTCTCATTTTTATAATAAATTTTGTAGTCAATGAAAAGTCTGGGTTTTTTCAACAGAGAAAAATATGGCAAGATATGCAATTACCCAAAAGGTTAACAGTGAATATCTCTGTGTGGTGGGAAAAAGAATGGTTTTAATATTCTTTTTATCTATTTGTAAAAATACATATTACTTGTTTTATTGAGGAAAAAAGAAAAAGAGGCAGTTTGTGTGACTTTTAACCTATCGGTCCTTCAAATGTCACTGGTTTCAGCTGAGAGTGATGGTAGGCAGGTGTCAGCACTTATAGTACAGCTAGACTGTACAGAGCAGAACCTGATGTCGCAGGTGGTACCAGCGTAAGTTTCCCTGACAAGAAGACCTCGACTTCAGGAGGAAAGGGATCCCAATCTTAGCCACACTTTTCAGCAATATAAGAGTGAAAAATAAGGATGTTGCTGGATTCAGCCTGTCTGTGCCTCTTCATTTTCCCACCAACACCTTCTACACTGTTCACAGGGCTTTCCTCAAAGTACAAGCTCAATCAGTACTCACTGATTAGACAACGGAATAGAACATTCAGATACTTGAAACTCTTTGGTCTAATTTTCTGACAGAAAAACAGTCAACCATGGAGTTGCATGGTTAAAAAAAAAACCCAACATCTTTTCCTTCCTTCTACATAGCAGTTTTTATTTAGGGTTGAGCTTTGGAAAGAATATCTATTTGGTCTAAAGGTGTGGGTGGAAGGGGATTTCCTGTGCGGTAAAACCTGCATTTTGAATTTTGGTGATCATGACATAGAAGAGGAAATGTGGCATCTACTCCGAGATCTAATGTTCACCCGCAAGACAGTTTACTATCCCTGGTTTAATGAGGTCAATGGCTCACTCTCCTTGATAATTAGAAATTAATATTAACAATCTAATAAACAAACTAGAGTTTGTGGTACACTTACACTGGCATAGGGTTCAGTACATCCACATAATCTTCAGTAGGTTCCTGCTCCTTTTCTATAGCTGAACTCGGTATCCGCTCTGTCTCAATCCTCCTCCTTTTCTCTCTCTCTAGGACTTCTTGCAGTCGAATTACTTGCCCAGGAAGGAGTGACACGTGTAGGGGAACTGACAGCTGAAACCAGTTAAGTCAGTAGGCAAACAAGAAAACAGAGTAACTAAGTGATTTCAGCAAAGAGGATACCGCTGTGGTCCTAAGGAGCTTCAGTTATCTGACATGGATGGAGAGGATCATGAATAGAGGATCTTGGTGTCTTAAAACTGCCTTCAAGGTGCACCTGGGTGACTCAGTCAGTTCAGTGGCTGACTTCGACCCAGATCATGATCATGCAGTTTGTGAGATCGAGCCCCACATTGGGCTGTGTGCTGACAGCTCAGATCCTGGAGTCTGCTTTGGATTCTGTGTCTCCCTCTCTCTCTACCCCTCCCCCATTCATTCTCTGTCTCTGTCTCTTAAAAATAGACATAAGAAAAAAAAAAACTGCCTTCAAGCCAACCACAAAGCTTTAACTTGCACAATGTGCCCAAACTTCTTCCTTCTTCCTAGAACTGTTCCTTTTGGCCTGGCACATAGCAAAGTCTACCCACCTTGCACTACAGGCTAATTCAAGTAACAACATATCTCTCATTTTTCATTCTGACCTCACTAGTTCTTGCTGCCAGTTAAGTCCCAAAGTACCAGTAAGGTGCTTTGCTGTCCCACAGCTAACCTGGAATTCGCTGCACCAGCCATATGGCAACATAGGGTTCAGATGGAACTATTCGTTAGATGACCGAGCATCTGTAGCCAGAGGTCTAGACTTCGGTGTATCTATGTGTGTATTTCAAATTTTCATTCACACATTAGGATTATGATACTGTTGTACTTAGTTTCTTTTAGCCTTCTCTAGAGATGTATTTTGGATTGAGTAACCTATACCCTCCTGATATTCGTACCCCTGATTTACATCTCCTTATGGCCTATTTACATGTGCTTATTAATTTCTATTGTTTATATCTTATATATGTGCATATATGTGTGTTTGTGAAGTTTGAAATAAAAACAGAATAAGGGTACACAATAAAAAATGATTAGAGACTTTTTCTGGATAACTTAGCTAAGCTAACTAATAATCAGTACAGTTATTTCCTTATATACCAATCCAGCAAATAAAATAATAGAATGAGGAGAAACTAATGAGGAAGGTACTGCTTATTAATTGCCTATTATGCCCCAAGCATTGTGCTATTGCAAATCCTCACAGCAATACTATAAGAGAGGTATGTTATCCCTACTCTACAAATAGGGAAAAAAAAAAAGGTTCAGGAGAAAGAAAAAGGTTCAGAAAAGTTAAATAACTAACAGGGTCACATAGCTAGAAAACTGTGGACTCAAACTCCAGTTTATTTAATTCAAAAGCAAAGTTTCTTTCTTTTTTATCTTTTCATTTCTTTTCTTTTCTTTTCTTTTCTTTCTTTTCCTTTCTTTCTTTCTTTCTTTCTTTCTTTCTTTCTTTCTTTCTTTCTTTTTTTTTTTTTTTTCTGCTCTTTCAACTACAGTCTATGTTTCTCGAACTTCTGGTAAAGCTGTCCTAACAACAGTATGGTGTGAATGTACACAGAGTGTTCAGGGAACCTAGTAAAAAACAAAATTCATACAGCACAAAATTTAAGATAACTGTTCTTCCCTTGGAAATTCACATGAATTTTATTTTGCATTCTGTAATATAATTATGTACATTTTAATTAAAATAATGCTTTTTATCCTTAACTTAAGGAAAAAAACTAAAAAACAATTTCTTTTTGCCAAAACATAATTAGTGTACCAGGTAGATGCACCCCAAGGCTTTCCAGTGGTTTTGGTATTCTCTTTGATACCTACTCATATACCCTTGGGATACTTGTATCCCAATATAAAAGTGTTGTGTCACACAAAGATGCTTTTTCACAACATCACTGGACTTCCCCATTGAGTTTCTTCCTCCACACAAGTCAAAATGTCTTTCACATCTTTAACTCGTCCAGTTTTCTAACCTCCTAAGACTTCCCTACATGGTAGCTGAACGTCCAACTTTCACCTGTTATTGGCTGATATAAAAAGCCAGCATCAGGGCACGTGGGTGGCTCAGTCAGTTAAGCATCTGACTCCTGGTTTTGGCTGAGGTCATGATCTCACAGTTCATGAGATTGAGCCCCACTTTGTGCTCTGTGCTTACAGAATGGAGCCTGCTTGGGATTCTCTCTCCACCCCCCTCTCTGCCCCTCCCCTGCTTGCACTGTCTCTCTCTCTTAAAATAAATAAGGAAACCTAAAAAAAACCCAGCATCCATCATCTCAGTAAAGTGCAGTGCTTATCTCATGTGACTGCAAAGCCTTTACTTAGGAACTCGCTTTGGATAGTCTGTACTTAACTGACTTCTTCTCTAAAAGTATCAGAGAACATGATCCTTCTTTGGGGGCTGGCTCTTAAAGTACCTAATGTTTATAAGACAGTTGCTACAGAAGCTTCACTTAAAATAATGGTAGACATCCTGCTGCAACTGTTAACTATAAGCAGATCTTACTATTTGTCTCTGAGAAGATGCCATGGGAGTTGAACAGGTAAGCATCCTTTTGTCTTAAGACTAACTACACAAATGTTTAAAGGTGAATATTCATTTTGATGGTCTTTCTGTTATATTATGTTATTCATAAAATTCATCTCAGCATTTTATAAATATGTATTAAATGAATAAGAAAGGAATTGGAAAGTATTTTAGATGATGCTATATAAGCTGTAACTATCAACATATACAAAGAACCATTGTGTCAAAAGACCAAAAAGTAGATCTCCCTGACCACCTGTTACTCTCTAGCTAGCACATGGCCTGGTTTATTTTCTTCATAACAGTTATCACAATTTTAAACTATTTTGTTTATTGCCTTTCTTCCTTTCCATCCACCTCATACAAATATAAATTTCATGAGTAAATGTACGGGTATATATCTGTCTTTTTCAATTCTTGTATCTTCACTTTACCCTTTTCACTCTGTATGGTTCATAGTCAGTGTCCAGTAAATATTTGTTGAATTAATGAATCAATCAAAAGTAATGTCCTTCCTACCTCTGTTACTGTAAGAATGAAGCCTCTCCACTCTTCCCCACTTTCTGCGTTTTCTGTCTGAAGATGAAAAAAAAAAAAAAACATAAAGAAGAAAAAACATAAGTGTGAACATTAACACTTTTATTAACTTCAGGTAATTTTAGAATTTCATATGATTGTTTCATAAGACTCCAAATGTGTAAGCTATCAAAACCCAGCAAGGTTGACAAAATGCATATCTTTCTATTGAAGCACGTTGTTTTAAAAAGTCAGTTGTAATTTTTAAAGCACTTTAAATTAGTTGAAAGGAAGAAACAATTCATTTTCCTTTTTGTTTAAGACAATGCATATGTTATGAAATTCCAAAACTATTTTCTTTTGTCAGAAGTATATAGCTTCAATCTATCTGCTTACCAAACAAGTAAAATCATACACATTTACTTTTAAAGAAGTAAATGTTATTCACTTATTTCTGCAATGTGTGAGTTAATGGTTGATCCACCCCACTGGTATTTAATATTAACTGGCTTTAAGTTTGCAACCAGGTAAGACCAATATAGTTAGTCCTTAAAAATTTCCAATTCTTAGCTCTAAGTCCTACTAATAGAGCCAACATTTATTAAGTATTTATAGGGGGCAGCTACTGTTCTAAGTACTTCACACATTAAATGATTTAATCTTTATGGTAATTCTGCAAAAGGTACTTTAAGAAATTTTTATTTTATAGATTTGCTCATTTAACATATTTATTGAGTACCTTAAGGGCTAGGCACTATTCTAGGTACTGGTTCACATCAGAGAACAAAATACTAATCCTTGTTCTGGAATTTTGGATCTAGTTATGGAATAATATATCATAAGTAGAATAGTAAGTAAATATTGTAGCGTCAGAAGGAAATAAATGGGAGAATAAAATGTAGAGCAGGGTAATTGAGAATTTCATTGAGAATGTCATTAGGGGCTAGGGGAGAGGAAAGGGTTGCAATTTTAATAAAATGGTCCAGGTAGTCTCAGTAAGAGAGATACATCTGAGTAAAGACTTACTTGTGGATGAAGAAACCAAGGCATAAAGGAGTTAAGTAACTTGCCTACAATTACACAGCTGATGAATAAAACAGCCAGAATTCAACCCCAGACATATGATTCCAATCTCGTGTTCTTTATCCACCATATCAGAATCATCTGGGAAGTTTGCTTAAAACAAAAAATCTGGGGCCCAGGGTTAGGGGTAGGGCCTAGATTTCCTAACTAGCGATTCCTAGTACAGTATTCCCCCTTATCTATGGGGATACATTCCAAGACCCCCAGTAGATGCCTGATATCGAAGATAGTACTAAACACTACATATACTATGTTTTTCCTGTACATACATGCCTATGATAAAGTTTAAATTATAAATCAGACACAGAGATTAACAACAGTAATGGAATAAAACAATTATCACAATATTCTTCAATAAAAGTTATGTGAATGTGGTCTTTTTCTCAAAATATCTTATTGTGCTGTACTCACCCTTCTTCCTGCAATGGTGCGAGATGATAAAATGCCTACATGATGACATGAAGTGAGGTGAATGACGTAGGCCTTGTGGTGGACCTTTTGATAAGGTCAGAAGGAGGACCATCTGCTTCCAGGCTGCAGTTGACCACGGTAACTGTAACCACTTTAAGGGGGGGAGGGGGACTACGGTACTGTAAAGATTCATGAGCAGTGCTTGCAAGGCCAACTCGAACAACTTCTTATTCAATTGCAACAATACATTTAACACTGTAATTGTTGGTTGACTTTAACTGGCTCGCTTTGAATGTCAATTCAAGAAAAACTTTTTTTCTGTGCAAGTGCTAGCTGTACAGTGATGAATTTAACAAACAAATTTCTGCTCGTGTGGGGCTTAGAGTTTTATGAGATTAATACCATCTTGCACAAACGGTGTATATCTAATACACAGTTCTTTTCTGAATTTTTCTATTGTAACAGTAATGTTCTTTATAGTTTTTTGTTTTCCTTTTCTAGCCCAGAATCCAGTCCAGGATCACACACTGCATGTAGCTGTCATACGCCACAGTTTCCAAAATTGGACACAGGTGTCTGGCCTTCCTTTGGCTTTTCTCACAGCGATATTTTTGAAGACTACTGTACAGGCCAATTGCCTTGCAAAATATCTCTCGATTTGTGAAATGTGGGTTTGTCTAATTCAGTAGTTCCAAACATGTATCATGTTGGACACGTCTCAGATTCATCTGGGAACTTGGTAAGTATCAACTCAAGAACAACTTCTTAAAAACACCAGGTGGGATCTCTGACTTTGTCAGAGGACAGAAGTGTATGGTTTCAGTGTGCTTGTATACTAAACAAGTGGACAGGCCCTTTCAAATCCCTATTTGGAAAACTGCAGTTTTTGGCAAGAGGCAAGAAATATGAACAAAGAATGAGACTTGGCAGGTCCTCTTATGATTCCTCTTTACCTCAGCTCAGTGGGTTGTGAAGAGGCGAGTGCTATTTATAACAACTTGTTTCCAACTAATTGCGTCTCCTCACTCACCTTCAGTTGCACTTCCTCTTTTGGTAAAACAAGGGTGAATTTTGCGCAATTCTTTTCGGTTGAATTCTGGTCAGTAAGGCATGTGAGGTCTATTATGTCTAACTTGTCAACATACTGCAAAGATAAGGAAAATCTCATTAAATTGTTTCATGGGTAACATACATTAGTTCTAGAAAGGAGGAACATAACTGATTTGGACCTTGCATGAAATCTTGGCTTTCAACTGGGCATCGCAAGCCTTCCGAACTCAGAAGGCATTTGGAGATGTATTCTGTGATGGTGTGCTGGACCTGGCCCACATGACTTTGCAAAAGCTGATTCTTTCATTTTTAGGAAGTTTGCAAGCCAGTCACTAAACACAGCTGTTAAAAATTAAATTATATAAACATACAATTATATTAAAAACAAAGGTAACTAAAATTCAAAACTCATTATTTTCTAATTATATTACTACATTGTATTTGCTATGCCCTTGAGGTTATTTACATCCTCATTTCTGTTTGAGGGAAATACTATCTAACAGTGTATTACCATACCTTTCTTCCCAATTCAGGAAAGTCACACTGATAGTTTAAAATCAGCTGTGGTGGGAGTATTTACACCTTGGAAATTGGTAAACCTTACAAATTAGGGCTTGATTTATTGTTTTGTTAATTGTCCTAGGAGCCAGCAATTTTTTTTCTGCAAAAGCTAGATAGTAAATGTCTCAGGTTTGCAGAACACACAGAGTCTCTGTTGCAAATTCTTATTGTTTTCATACAACACTTTGAAAATGTAAAAAACATTCTTAGCTCATAGACTGTACAAAATCAGGCCAGTGGCTAGATTTGGGTCAAGGGCCACAGTTTGCTGGGCTCTGGGTAGCAAAGTGAGGGGTAAAATATTAATAAAGCAGATAAAATGTTAAAGTTTCTTGTGTTTGAAACTTTTTCATTGTGAACAGAACAAAAAAAAATTGAGAAAATATTGTCCCATGATTCAGAAATTATCATGTTGTTTAGCAAAGAACTTACCCATGTCATTATCAAAATAGGTGAAGTTCTAACATACATGATTATTGCTTTGCTTTCCTCTTATCATTAATGTAAACAAAAATATCAGTCGACATTCATATCAAATGTCACATTTAGTGACAAATTTATTAGGGAAACAGCAGATTGGAAGACAACTGCATTTGTCAAATCATGATTGAATTGCAATTTTAGTTGCCTGTGGATCCAAGTTCAGAAAGATCAATGAAAGTATCTGTGAGAATCAATTACCTATATGGAAACTATAATAAAAAATATTGTAGGGGCGCCTGGGTGGCTCAGTCAGTTAAATGTCTGACTTCGGGCGCCTGGGTGGCGCAGTCAGTTAAGCGTCCGACTTCAGCCAGGTCACGATCTCGCGGTCCGTGAGTTCGAGCCCCGCGTCGGGCTTTGGGCTGATGGCTCAGAGCCTGGAGCCTGTTTCCGATTCTGTGTCTC